TGTGTGTGTGTGTGTGTGTGTGTGTGTGTGTGTGTGTGTGTGTGTGTACTTATTTATTATTGCTGCTACCGATATTGTTAGTATTGATGGTATTAATGTTGTTGCTGTCGTTGTTATTTGTTTCCTATTTGGACGCCATTCATGATTTTACCATATTGCGTCGGCCTTTAAGTTTTGTGTAAATTCCCGCCTTTCCCGATCACAACAGATTCGTAATCGAACATATACGACACATACACGCATGTTTAAATATGTTTATGTATCTTTAGAAAATAATAATAACAACAACATAATAACCACCTTGTACACAGGACATATATGTAACAATTGTGTTCTAGCATACATAGGACACCTACATGCATATACGTTGCATTAGACAAATATTAGTCTCCTAATTCCAAAGTCTAATAACACGCCTGCAATTGTGAGTGTATACATCATCATCATTATCATCATCATCATCATCATCATCGTCGTCTCTCACCTGCCGTTTGGTATATGTACTATATATAAATACATGTTTACAGCAGGCCTACTTGCTAGTGTATGTGTGCTGTACATTAGTTATGCCAACTACATCATAAATATCATCATCATCATCATCATATTATTATTATTACTATTATTATTATTATTATTATTAGCTTCATTATCATTGTCAAGAGAAAGAACAGGGGCAGAAATAGCAGCAATAGCAGCAGCAATACTAGCAGCAATAGCAACAGAAAAAAACCGCAGCAACACAAACAGCAGAAGTAGTAGTAGTAGTCACCTTTGTTTTCATTGGCCACTCACAGTATTAGTTATTCAAATTTGTATGTGCACGTATGTAACTTTCTCTATGCCGTTATTTACTCTGCCACCACTATTTCTATATCAACTAGATCTGTGTGTGCGTCTTTTAATTTCACTTAGCTTTTTACCCACCATAATGTTTGCTTGGCTTTTTCTCTATTCATGAGATTTATTATTTTTGTCAAGTTTTCTCTTGTTGTGCGAGCAGCGAGCAGCGAGCAACGAGCAGGTTCTCTTGTTTTGCATTCGCAATGCGAGCAAACGAGACAGTTGGATATTTAATGCAAGCAGCAGTGTTAAATATTTTTGGAGGATGACTTTTTTTTTTTTTTTCTGTCTTTGTTCTTGTTTCCTTTACTGTAGATTTCCAGTCACCGCTTAATTAATTATTTAGAAAGTTTAATAGGTGTAGCGACTAGTAATGAAAAATTTTCTCCCGGTAGAAAAGGTATTCAGGAGAGTTACATAAGCATTGCATTCGTCGTAGGGTTCATTCCCGGTTGTTTAAATCAATCCGCTTTTCTTTTTTGTTTTTTTTTCTCGTATTTTTTTTTTTTTTTTAAGCATAACTAATAGAATTTGTTTAAGTGTAAGCTAAAACTTGTAACCTTTTACTTTCTTCAGATTTCTTCTTCCTGTACCACTTCCAGAGTGTGCACATGCTTTCTATGGAAACAAACGGTTAACTGAGAAAGTAATTAACATTTTTGTGATCGATCTATGGCATGGCTTTGCGGCTAAAGAGCAATTTAACTCATCAATGAAGAGCGATTACCGACCTTTCTTTTTGGTACCCGCTCACTATAAGTATCTGATGATCAGTAATGGACATCAGTGGCAATGCATAATAACTTGTAAAGTAAGGGTAAACGTTCCTTCTAAAGAATTCTAAAACGGTTTTTTAGTTAGAATCTTCATACGATTTAATAAAAATTTGAATGCTTTCCAAGTCATGCTCTTATTGCCTTTAGAAACTCATAAAACATCAGGCAAGGACCAGGACCAAACTCTTCGATCACATTACTTATAAAACTTTTACATAAGTATTCGAGAGGGTATTAGGCAAGTGAAGCGCAAGCTTGAGTGCAAGCTTTCCAAAAGTATTAGGAGATATTTTCTTCGAAGCGATACAATAAATTCAAACGATGTCTACATCTGATAAATAAGCGTTAAGAGTTTATATAACCAATTTATTTTTTTTCGTTTTGCTTATACCGGTGCTCCCTAACATCAGTGCAGTTTCGACACTCACTACTTGATTTGAAGAAATCTGCTGTCAAAGCCCATCAAACACTTTTTAGAAGCTTATGGCTATGCTGTTGCAACGTATGCCAATTGTGACAGTTTTGGTGTCAATCGGTTAAAACTGATAAATTTGATGCCAACGACAAAGAACGGCCTGGAGAACCCCAAAAAATTCAAAGACAATGATTGATTGAACGTAAATCCAGCATCAACTCTCAAAAAACTTTCGAACAGCATAGCAGCTAATGGATTAGAAGAAAAGTGGATCCGCTACGACAACATTAAGCGCAAAAGTCGTGGGTTAGTCATGGAGAGAATCATGCCCATTGACACCGAAGCGAAATATTCATGGTCACAACGTTTTGTTTTTTCATATGATGACATCAGCAAGGTGCAGTGTATTACGAGCTCCTGAAACCGAATGGAACAGTTTCCGCATATGTGTATCGAGATGTCAATTGAAGAAATTGAACGATATATTGTTACAAAAAATACTCTCAACTGCAGTTAAATAGACGTAACAGACGTAAAGTGATCCGCTTGCATGAAAACGTTCGGGCACACGTTGCAAGAATCGTCAAGCTCTGCTGCACGCAGCGTACTCATCAACCAGCGCCTTCTGATTTTATCCCTTGTTCAGATCGTTGTAGCGGGGCTTGACTGGCATGCGAAAATGAGTCGATAATTGAATCGCTGCCAACCTGATATCGTTCGTCCGACCATATCGCTACGCTGCCAGAAAGATTGGAAGAGATTGCAGAAAATGATGGCAAATATTTTGATTAATACGTATGGTGTCAATATTTCTCAATGAATGATCAGAATACATGCAAGCACCTAATACATTTACGAGAATTTTGTTCCATAACCGACCTTAAAGCGCTTTTTGACAGAAAGAAAGGATAAATTGACGCATTTTTTTGTTTTTGTTTTTAAAATCAATATCTCGCAAATATTCCGCAATGCTTATAAGCTTTTGATCATATGGTTTTTTGGTTTGCTACTTTAAGTGCAAAATGGTGAATAGAAGTGTTGCGAGGATTATTTGATCCCTTAAGACGCAGTGGTATAGGACAACATTTTGCATCCAGATAAAAACGCAAAGAAAAATATCAAGAAAAAAACGTTTTTTGTTTTCGGGCAAAGAGCACACTGTACGCCTTCAGTTTGTGTATTCATCTGAAAATAAAATTTTTATATACCATAGGATAATAATAAAAATATTTTTTTATTTTCATTAAAACCAATTTACCTTCATATTAACTCCATTTTACCCTTGACTTTAAGAAAATTTTTTATAAGAGATATACGATCAAAGAGAGAGAGAGAGAGAGAGAGAGACAGAGAGGAATTTTTAATTATATAACTGGCATGTCTTTGTACAACCGGATCATTATCATTTTGCGGCTAAGCGACGACACTTGTAGTGATCTATTTTAACGCTTCAATGTTTCAAATTCGATAATTGAATCAAGGTTGCGAATATAGTTTACAGCATCTAGCATCCTTTTCAGTTAGAAATCTTAACGCCAATGCCGCTAATGTCACTAAAATCATTCCGATAAGCAAACAGTTCAATATTTTGGGTATAATTGCGATCGGCATTTACACACAGCATAGTGTTCTTGTTTCATTACGGAACAGATGCATAGAGAGTAAGGGATATTGTGATTGTACGCAATCGTAAGCAAATATTATTAATCAAAGGCATTTTCTAGTAGCTTCACTTAGAAGCTTAAATAAAAGAGGTAACAGCAAAGGTTAATGAGGAGTGTCTTCTTCAATTCAAACGCTCTCTATTAAGGAAACGTACGAAACGAAAATTCTTTTATGAAAACTGCAAAAAAAATTTAGTAATTTATTGATTTCTTTTGATAAACTTTTTCGCCTCCGAGGAAACTTTTTCCTGCGAACAATTTGACCAAATTATCGTTAATACCATCATAAATAGTGGACGTGAAAAAATGTAGGCTTTTGTTACTAAATAGCAGTCTCTGGGCTTGGTATTCGATTTTACAAATCTGGCCTTTAAACATAGAGATGAGAGTAAACAGTAGCGCGTTGG